ATAAATTTTAAAGATAACTAAACTTAAAATTACATCTCCTTCTACTCTCCTACTAAAATTCGTAATATTGTTATAGATGTTATGCAATGATTAACACAAGCTCCGGCCCACCTGATTAAAAGTGGTAACCGTCGCCTATAGACATGAGTAGTACCATGGATATAACAGCGTATAATGTTTCGCCCATGATACCCCTATGTATTACCATTCCTGAGAACAAAGGTGTTATGTTCATATACCCTGTAAATTCACAACCACCCTTCAAACCGAAACACAGCCATGTAAACACAACTGCTTCACAGTTGAAACACGAATAGAACAGAGGTACCCAAGCAAACGATTTTTGTACAGTCTCTCTCTGGTAAATATACACTAATACTGATAGTAAGTTTTTTTTTTTTTTACAACAGGGGGCAAACGAGCATGCGGCTCACCTAATGGTAGGTGACTACCACCGCCCATGATCACCCACAACACCAGCGGCATTGCAGGTGTGCTGCCGGCCTTTTAAAAAGGAATATACTCTTTTCTTGTAGGTTATGTTGTCGTATCGGTTCGGAAATACTGCTGCTGGAAGTTGATTCCAAAGAATGGTTGTGCGTGGAAGAAAGTGTCTTGAAAAACGCATGGTGGAAGATCGCCACTCGTAAGTTTTACCAGAGGGACTCTTTGTACAAAAGTCGATTGCTTGAGTACCTCTGTCCCATTCGTGTTTCAACCGTGAAGCAGTTGTGTTTGCATCGCTGTGTTTCGGTTTGAAGGGTGAGATATGGCGTGAATTTACAGGGTACAGAGGAATAACACCTGAGTCCTCAGAAATGGCAACGCATGGGTGGTATCATAGGCGAAACAGTATACTCTGTTATGTATGTACATCAGGTGGGCCGTCAGCTTGTTTGCCATTCTAAGTTGTATAAAGAAAAATAAAAAAAAAAATAGGAAACAAACAAACTCACTTTTCACATTTATAATATTAATATAGATAGAAATACTAGAGACCAGTCTCATCACAATATTTCTCCAGTGAGAATCAAGGAAATGACTACGTAGTTTATTCTATAAGAAGCTAATAAAGACTCGGGTTTCAAGCGCCATTACTTGGGGGTATAATAAATTGCTTTATTACGAACATCATAATCCACGGTTAACTAACATAAATGCCCGTCTCTACTCGCGCTCGCCACTTTGTTTAGATTAAAACTTAATGCCTCTAACTGATATTAACATGACAACAACAATGTTTTTAATTTAACGTTGGTTTATTAAATGTTATGAACAACTTAGATGTTATAAGTAAATGGTGTATTGTTAAAAATACCTAAGTGTTTTTATGACAATGTGTCTTGGATCTTTATTGCCAGTAGGAAATTTTTAAAAAATTCTAAAAGAATAAATACATGTTAAGAAAGAAAAAAAAAACTCATAATAAAATATTATACCAACTCGGCTGGCTCATATCATCTTATATGGAAAGATCCATGTCCAACAGAGGAGTTGTACAGGTTATTAAGGTACGTATATGTTTATATTATATTATATAAAAAAATGAAAATGGAATGGTTTTGTTTTCAAAATACAATGGCAGGGTACCAGTAAGGATTAATAGGCGAGATTCATTCTCGATAAGTTAACTGACGAATACCCTAGGATTAGCCACGAAGGTTTCCAGGTAGACCGCTTAGAGAGTTACAGGGTATATTACTATCAATGGGGTCGTTAGCCCCATTATTAACACTCCTATACCCTCCAAGGATATCGACTGTACCTAGAGACTTAAAGAGAATTACGCAGCGGTCTACTACTAACTCTGGAAACAGATAAGTGACGGAGAAGAAATGTTATGGCTTTTAATTCTGAATCTCTATAAAGCTTATGGTGGAGGTGTGGGTAGCAACGTTCCACCTAAAATATCACCAAAAGTCAAACCGTAGATATCAATCTGTCAAGCGTGGCAACTACTGGCGAAATCCCCCCAATCGTATCATGAGGTCATGTCGTAATAATAGTAACCTCTATAAGTGGCCCCGTTCCTTATACAGTCTATGGAGGAGGTCTACGTTCAGTAGTGGTCAGATAGTGGCTGATACGATGATAGTGGTGATGTTCGAAAACAAAATATCAATAAAACAAAGTAAACAAATTAAACAAGAATAAATGACAAATTTTTATATGTTAAAAATTTCATTTCATACGTATATACAAATAACATTGTTTACTACCTCAATGATTATTAATTTATACATGTATCGAAATCATTATTGGTATCAATCGTTACGCTCTAAAAACTGGATATAAATCCCATAGCGAACACGCTTGCTACTTGATCAAAGAATTCTTCAAAGTTTCAATCTCCGTTTAATTGGTATAATCCGTCTTGTGCTGGTACGTATCTATTCTCAGCTCATGCCCTCAAGATACGCTACTTACAAATGAATAGCTCCTTTATATTTTACATTCTCGCAATACTTGTGCCAGATTAATAAATTATATAAACAATGTGTTGTTTAATAAATATTATAAGTATGTATATAAATTACTATTAGATATTAAGTAGGTAGTAACAACTGGAGTTATAAACGCCTGTAGAATATAAATAGCAATAAATTCCTTTCAAAGGATTTTGTTTTCACTTTGTAAAAGGATGTCGCTGTAATCTAACAGGGTTTGAAAAAAATTTAAGATAACTTTGATATTGGTATACAGGTAGACAAATTTTATTAATTATATAGTTCTTATTCTTATAGTTCATAAAGAATTTAACATTATTACGTAATAATAAAATTTCGGTTTATTAGAGTATAACCAGGGGAAACTACAAAAGTCGTTTGCTTGGGTACCTCTATCCCATTCGTGTTTTAACCGTGAAGTAGTTGTGTTTGCATAGTTGTGTTTCGGTTTGAAGAGTGAAATATGGTAGTGGATTTACAGGGTACAGAGGCATGACACCTTAGTCCTCAGGTATGGCAACGCAAGGATGATATCATGGGTGAAACAGTATATACTCTATCATGTCTATGGTACTGTTCATGTTTATAGGCGACATTTACCATTTTTCATCAGGTGGCCCGTCAGCTTGTTTGCCATTCTAAGTTGTATAATAAAATATCTAATGGAAACTAGTATTAAACTGTCATCAAACTATTCGAAATAATCCTATAAATTTTACAAGTACAATTCCAACATGTTTATAACTACATTACTAGCTGATTGAAAGCAGTACCGATCTGTATAAAATTATTTCTTAATTTTAAAAGACTATTGTAGAATTTTCAATGCTTGTAACTGATTATTTGAACTGTACTTACGAACTAAAACTTTAATCGTGCAATAATATACTTTTAAGGCTATCATTGAAAATTTAAATTTTAATGGTTTGTTTTATCATTCATCGGTCATTTTAAATAATAATTCAACATAATTTAAAAAATGCTAAATTGTTTAGAAATTCGACGCATAATCGCGACGTAAAACTTGGGTAAGCAAAAGTTATGTGTTTATATATATATTGTTTTACCTACTAAGCTATATGGAAACCCCAAACACAGATAGAAAGCCGGTCGTTCACCACCGAAGATCGAAGACAGTACAAAGATGTCTGCAGATATCGTCCCGATTATATGAAGACTTCCAAGTTTGACAGGTGATTTGGGTCTCCGCCGGCCGCTTCCGCCACCGCCCCACCATCGAAACCCATCGATTGGTGATAACTTCGGAACTAGCATTGACATTTGTTTCAATAGGCATTTAGATGTTTCGTGTTAGTTAAGGCTTCGAATTATTATACATATTAGGTGTGGGAAGTATAGATATATATCACAATTCTTTTTAAAATATGTACATATTATATCTTTAGCAAGTTAATTATTCTGTGTTGTTATGTGTAAAATGCAAATAATAACAAATAAATTACATAGTTAATAATTAGCTACAATAAACAACGTCGTCTACAACAATTAATAATATATTATTGATTGTTGTAGACGACGATGTTCGATTGTGATTGATATATCTACGTATAATTTTTTTACACTTTTATTCCATCGTCATATAATTGTTTTCGAAAATGTAATAATATATCTTATATTGATTATTATACTTTTGGTTTATTTTATTTACAAAGTATTTCTAGTAAACTATATGTTGCCTACATTATGCTGCATATATATATATATATATATATATATATATATATATATATATATATATATATATATATATATATATATATATATATATACACAAAATATAGGCTCTACATAATCACATCAAATTATTGAAGATTTAGTACTATACAAAAACTAAAGTTACTACTTTCCAACAAGAGTACTGTCAGCTTATTTGCAATAGTGTGAAAGATGTTTAAGAAGTTTTTACTTATATAAACGTAGAATTCATATTTAGAATAAAAAGTGTATTACAAAAACAATTTTTATGTCTAAATTAGGCGTTACGTTTTATTCTTTAATTAATTATATTACAGAGCTTTGTCTTTTAATTAGAATAAAGGTAGCCTATGTACTAGATTATCCAGCTGCAATGCTACAGGTGTTTGCACAGTGCACAGTAAATTTCATTCAAATCCGCTCAGTCGTTTAAGCTTCATTGAGTGGTGAGCGTTGAAACTTTTACAGAATATTTTACATTTATAATATTAGTTGTTAATAGTATTTAACCTATGCCCACAATGGGTACAGATAATGAAAACCCCTTATTTTACATCAGTTTGAGTCCGCTGTTTTTAGACGATAAGTATGAAGTTTCTCTAGCGACATAGTATATTTTTACCAAACGCTAACTGTTGTCAACTCACCTGCCGTGTGTAGCAACTATTGATAAAACCTCTATTTATGGGGAAGACCTATGTTCAGCAGTGAATAGTTAACGTCTAATAGTAATAATAATGATAGCATGTTTAGTTTTATAGACGTTAACAGACACGTCTCGAAGTCTCACTGCACGATGTTCACAAATTGAAAGGCAACGTAAATAAAAAACAAGTGTAATTTTCATTATAATATTCAATTAAATTTTCTGTTTATATAATTGAATTGAATAAACATTTAGCCAATATCTTTATTACCTAGCGGTAAATGCTTCGAATGTTCTTGTGAGCCTAGTGACATACATTTACAATAGAACCCTTATTAACATTAATAAATTATTTACAATAATTATTTGGAAAATTCATCACAGCTCCACAAAACAAGCACATAACATGGTACAACGAAAACAATTCATAAAAATGTTACAAATATTTAATTAAAAACTATAAAACAATAGTTTGCGATGCATCGTGTGACAAATAGCCTCAATCGATAAATGCGTAAATACTGTTAAATAATATAATATCTGAATAAGAACATGTATTACTACGTAATTAATATTATTGATACAACATAATACAAACAAAAATAATGTTAAAATCTTGTAAGCTACAGAAAAAACTATGCGTGATTTCCTAATCATGTAATTTGAAATAATACATAAAAACCTCCTATAATAACAATAATAAAATGTTTTATTTCTCTCCTCATAAAGAGCGAGAAATTAACATTTAATTTAAATTATGTGAAACAAACTACAATAAAAAGCAATATAATTTGCCTTTGTGAAAGACTAGTGTCTTGTACATGCTGTGTTACAGAAACACCAACAGAATTTCGAACTTATCCAAATACAGTGAATAAATGAAGTAGTAATAGCGATAATTATTATTACAAATATGACGAATTTTGATGATTTTTAGATATTTACTATAATATATAAAGTTCAAATGTGTATATACATTGAAAGTAGACCTTTATTTTAATATCTACTAAAATAAAATCACTATACGGAATAATTTAAACATTAAAGATAATGTCGTCAATTAAAATAAACAATTACAACAATTTTCAATTTAATATTATGTATTACATAGTACCACATGTTCTTTACTATTAGATAGTACTGTGAGCAGTTTGGTATCTGCTATCTCTTCATTATCTTACTAGTCGATTAACACTAATCAATCTTTGGATTGAGGAAGCATTACTAAATTAAGTTGAAATATGGAATGTGCGCAATCTACTTTAGCCATCGTCAACCGAAGCACAGGCCGAATATAATTATTCTCTATACCTACCTATATGTGCACTATATAATTCTTACACTATATGACTCATTAATTATGTATATTACAATATAACATTGAATACCAATCTACACATTGATTTGTCTAAGTCACCTACAGCTAATTATTTTAGTAGTACTTTATTATGAGTATCAATAAAATATTGCGGTCCCTCCAGCGGTGCCAGATTGAATATAGTTATATCGAAGTGTTGAAGTGTATGTACAGTAAAGCTACGATGGTTATCCGAGTACAGAACCAGAGTACTAAACCCATCCTAGTGCAGAAAGGTGTAAGACAGGGTGACGTATCCCTGGAGGATCTGAATACTATGCTCAATGACCTCAATGGTGTTTCTCAACAGGTAGGTCTTAGGATAAACATGAACAATACTTAAATAATGTCTAACGTCCATGTCACACTTATACCGGTTACGATTGAAAGCACTACGCTCGAAGTTGTCGATGAGAATGTATACCTGAGACAAGTTGTCTGAATAGGTAAATTCAACTTCGACCGAGAGGTCAACCGATGAATCCAACTTAGCTGGGCAACGTTCGAAAAACTACGCCACATCTTTTCATCCAAAATACCTCAGAATTTGAAGACGAAGATCTTGAATCAGTGCGTATTGCCAATGATGACTTATGGAATCGGAAAATGGTCCTATACGATTGCCCGTATGCAGAAGCTTCAAGTTACTCAGCGGGCTATGAAGAGGGCTATAACCGAAGATATCCGCAAAGGAATCAACGTAACCGACATAGCCCGAAGGATAAGCAAGTAACAATGAGCTGAGCACATAACTCGAAGAACCAATAACCGATGGGGAAAGAAGGTTCTTGAGTGGCGACCCCGTACGGTCAAACGTAGTGTAGGACGACCCCCCACTAGATGGAGCGATGACCTGAAATGCATTGCAGGCAGTTAGTGGATGCAGGTGGCTTGGGACCGTTCTTTATGGCAGTTTATAGGTGAGGCTTATGTCCAGCAGTAGACAAATAATGGCTGAAATGACACGATCAATAAAATAGTTAAGATATAACAGATTTTTTTTATATGCTAGCAGAAAAATTAAGGTTTCAATAAAACTAAAATTTTTAACAATTTTTCAAATGGCTGTATCTTTGATAAAAATGATCGTATTAGAGTAAAAAAAAGCAGTTTGAAGTGTAAACTTTCTATATTTTGCATATTGCAAAAAAAAAGAATTCCAAGTAATACGTATCGCGCAATCTTAATGAGTATCGTGAAAAAATAATAGCGATTTTTTTCGATCTTATTTTTGGTATACGGACTTGAAAAAAAAAACAACCACCTTATGGATTAAATAGGTTGTTCACTTAGGTTCAATTTTGTTTTTTTTTTTTGGATCTCGATTGGACCATTTCTTGTTGAGCTATGGGACTGAATGAAAATGTACCATTTTCTCTTTGTTCATCATTGTTGCACAGAAAATCGATGACGGGTTTCAGAAACTTGAATGAATTCTCTATAAGGTTCTGGCACGGATTTTTAGAAAAACTTTTTATTTTTATTTTTAACATGGCTTTGAAAAATCGTAAAAATAGGACTTTTAGGGGTCTTCTAAAATAAGTAATGTTAAGTGTGCCTTTTACAAGTCATTGTACCCCTAAAAGCTCAACAGAGTTTCAATTCGATCTATCAAGCAGTTTTATTGTTTTATTCGAATGAATTTTTTAAAATTTAAATAATTACGTTTTTTGCCTTTAAGTGCTCATAATCTGTAAAAAAAAAACATTATTTTCCGTTTTTTTTTTACATTCATATGACATTTGAAATTATGTGAAATTTTTCGAAAATATTGTTTTCAAAATTTCACAAAACCGCTGGCATTATCGTCACTTAAAACATACCACGTGAAAATCGTCTAAATTTCTTTTTATTTTGAACCGACATGATAAAAATTAAAAAAAAATCTAAAAACTGTATTAAATGCATTTTCTGTGCAACTAATCGTTTCTAAGCTATCGATGAACAAACAGAAAATGATCCATTTTCTTTCAAAATCTGATAGCTCAACGAGAAATAATCGTATCGAAACCAAAAAAAAAAACAAAATTGAAACTAAGTGAACAGTGATGGTAATACTGGGAATGCCCATTATACGAGTCGTACCAATATCCCTCATTCCATCGTGGAAGACAATCGTGAACAGCTTGTCTGAAATCGAGAGACGGTTAACTGGAGTCTCTGATGGACAAAACTTAGTCCAGTTTAACCCCGCTGAGAAACAAATGATAATCATGATATTCATTAAAATTGCGCGATACGTGTTTTCTTCGATCGATACAAAAAAAATTCCCAGAATTTTTTTTTGTAAGATCCAAAAATTAAAAAGTTCAAGCTTCAAATTCCTTTTTTTTACTCTACGACCATTTTTATCAAAGATACATTTGAAAAATCACTAATAATTTAGGTTTTTTTGACCCCTTAATTTTCTCCGCTAGTGTATATAAGTAAAATTTAATAAATAAAATTGAATTTCTTACCATTCATATATATACAGAAACTTGAGATTCATTCGCAGGTGCGTTGCAACTTGCGACGCGTCTTCCGTAACACATTTTATAACGTATATTACATATGTACATACAACGATATGATCGTCACCATTCAATACGTAGATTATATCTATATAATTACCAACTATTCTAACAAGTTTTGCTTTGGAGTAATGTTTATACTAGAAGGGACCACGATTGTGGCACTCAAGTCCTCAGAATAATACGAAAAGTTAAAATGACGTCACTGTCATAATAATACTAACATGGCACTACACCATTATACGATCCGAAATCAGTCTTCGTGTTAATCTGAAACCACATGGAAAATCTTTTATGGAAAGATTTTCTCTCTTAATTTAGGTATATTGCATCCCCGGAATACTTTTGTTCGGTTCAAATTTCCTATCGCCAATCGATTGCGGATGCCCAGGATGTGAATAGTGAGATGGAGATGAAGGTTCATACAGTGACATCTTCAACCTCTTGCACTTCGCTCGACGATTCTTAAACCAGAATTGCACGTTCTTGGATTCGAGTCGCGGAAACTTTTGCCTATAAGGCATTCTGTTTAACTCTTCGGTGTACTTCAATATCAAATTATGTGACGGATGCGTGTTCATTGAAAACCACTGCTCTAATACGGGAACCTCTGATACTGGATCTATAAAAGTTCTGTTTCGTTTGCGACGTTCGTCAGAAGCGCCGGCGAGTGCTAAATTCAAACCACTGGCACCTTCACCAGGTACTCCTCCGACGCCGTGGAAACCACTCATGTATTGACTCATGTATATAATACCGGGCGGTCCGAACATCGAGTGATTTGGAACCATAGGAAATGGTAAGCGGTCAATATGAGGTCTGTATTTGTGTTCTTGCATGACTTCATCATCAGATACGTCGTGATCGTCAGTTACTCCGTTTTCTTCTTCATTATTATTATTGTTGATGTTATTATTATTATTTGGACTATCGCTATTCTTAGCTGGTGAGCGCTGAGGAGAATTACCTTGGTCAGGTTTGCTCAGATCTGTTGGTTCTTGTTTAACATATTCGACCTAAAGAGAAAATTAGCACTAATTAGATGTGATATTATTTTTACATCCCAAAAATGCAGTATATAGAAATAAGTTTACTTTTATTTATATTTATTTTATGTTATATACAGTAAATTTCATTCTCTAAAGGATTTTTTTCAATAAAGGATATTTTAAAATGAATTTACTGAATAAAAATATTTATAATTCTCAGGTAACCTAATTTATTAAACAAAACTTTTTACATTAGTTGAATTCTGAATCTTTTATATTATGCCTTTATCCTGATTTCCTGATTTAACAATACAGCCTAGCCTACATTATAGCCTACCTTATAATACAACCTAGCATGGTCAGATTATAGGCATGATTTTGTGGCATTTATTATTTTATTATTAAAGCAATTTATTTTATATGTTGAGTTTGCATGGCTGTGTTTCGGTTTGAAGAGTGGGATATGGCAATACAAGATACAAATATATATATATATATATATATATATATATATATATATATATATATATATATATATATATATATATATACGGTACGGACCGTATATTTGTTTACCACCGCAGTAATATAAAAAAACTTTACATTTGCAAACAACTTTAAATGAAATTAAATCTGTGAAAAATTACCTTAACAATGTCAGGTGATTTTGGTGATTCTTCAGTTCTGTCTTCTCCATCATTATTATTTTTCTTAGTTGTTATCAAAGAAAGCGGCGCATCAGGACTCTCTGGTCTATCATCAGGGTTTACTTCACCACCATCATCTTCTAAATCCGAACCGCCATTTGAGAGATTATCTTCGGACATTACCGACATAGGATACCTGCCAGGACTTCCTGACAACTGCATAGGGCTTTTCATAGAATTATTATGGTCTTGGGATGCATAGCTATCATTACCAGTCATCAAGGAACCATTTGATGGACTATGGCTCCTGCTATTAAAACCATTAAGATGACATCCTAATCCTCCAATACTACGTAGTTCGGCACGCTTCTGAGCAGCTCGTGCATTTTTAAACCAATATACGACATTATTAACATCTAACGGTTTTCGGCCTCTCCTTGATTCTAAATTGTTCAATTCTCGAACATACTGCTGAATCTGTTGTCGACTCGGATGTTGATTCTCTGAGAACCAACGTTGTAGTTTCGGTAACTCAAGCTCAGGATCAAAACTCGTTCGCATTCTTGTTTTCGGCGTTGGATATTGATTTTGAACGGTTTGTAAGGCGGGATGTAAATGATCTGGAATTGGATTGAGTGTTGGCGATCGATTTTTCGGTCCCGGAGAAGGATATCGGCGGGGGCTGAAAGTTGGTGCCCGAGGAGATACTTGTGCACTCCACCATGATTCAAATTTTCGACGCATCTCCTCAGACGGTTCATGGAAATTGTGGGGTCCCGGTGTTCTGTCCTGACCACGGCAGATTTGAGTTAAAGTCACCTGTAACAAGTTAACGTACTTTAAAAATCAAAGTCATTTCTAGTTGTAAGGGTAAATAAAAAAACAAGATACCGCAAACAATTTTAGATGGTTTTAAAGAGGTCAGTCTAACCAGCAACAGATAAGAGATAATTGTTTGAGTAAACACCTAGCATTGTTTCACAGAACATCGCCATTAGATTATGAAAATATTAGGTCGGCTGTTAATGCATGTGTCATGCGCGAGCGGCCGTGGTTCTGACGAGACGAGCTGTTTACTTGGTGGTTAGTGCGCATCACTCCCGGCCGCCGCCGAAACTTCAATCATGGTCTACTCTAAAACAATGAGCGGGAAGGGCGTCTTAACAATTAGCATCCACCCACTACGTCTTCAACTAGCGCCGGCTCACAGAAATGTAGACTAAGTGCTTCTACTAAAATGTTTCAGCGTTAACCCATTACAAACGCCGTTGTTTAGGCATCAAATAAGGCACTACTCGAAAATAATTCCACTATTTGGTTTTCATAATTATTTATTCAAACAATAACATTAGCATATGCATGTAACAGTATTTGTAGTGGCTCGAGGAATCAATCATATAGAAACCTGTCAGATTATAACTTTGCGGACGAGTTTACTCAGCAACATATTATGCAAGTAAGATCTGCTCATATCACGAGATTACTCAGAACAATGCCAGTGATTACGCCGTCAAGCCACTTGTCAGGCAATCGTTTGCATTGCAACTGTTGCTAAATCAAATGTTAAGTGTATTATACATTCAGATTGTGCCTATAAATCATGTCAGGTGAGGAATTAACGCAGAGCGCGAGTGATACGTTAATCCGCCTCTTTGTCTTGTATTTTTAAATAGTGGAACTATATTTGCTTTCAGATATTGTCTGTTTCAGCTACATGGAAGATTTACAAGAGTTCTGGCGCCTGCGCGTGATAACTCTTGTCATATGTAATCCGCCTAAGTACATAATTTGGTGTGTGATTGCGAACATTTCTTGATATATTCATGTTAAGAAAGAATAACTAAGAAGACAGTAGGCTAAGTCTTATCTGAAATAGCTAGTTTGCTTTGCTACGAGTAAGTATAACTGAAGGTTGGCCATATAAACGTGCATCAATCGTTATAACAAAAATATGCCGATAAAATAAAAGTACTAAATAAGATTTATCATTTTAAGGACGTAAATCCCCACATCGACCTTTCTCCCCGAATACCCCTTCTATTCTTCGACGTTTAAAAGTTTGTTCGATAAAGTTGAAATCGAAGTGGCGCAAATTGGCGTGCGATAAATTACCATAATATCGCAGAGCCCAGTTCATCTGGCGTTTAGCTACTAACTTCGGTGTTGGAGGTGTTTGATTATCTTGCCCGGTACAGAATTCCTTTGGCTCATTTGCGACTTTGCGAGTAACTTCGAGACTGCTAACTTCAATTTGTATCTATTTATATTGTTTGACTTGAGTACGATTGTTCATTTTACTGCATAAACTGAAATCGAATCAAATTAGCCAATAAGCACTTGACTGTGTCACTGGAACGCTAAATTGATATCGCGAACCCGACAGGCGGTTAAGCCGGGAGAAGGGCGCGCATCGAGCGCTAACCTCGCGTTTAATAAGATTATAAAGCATTATTTTATGGTATTAATAAGATCAAAAGCGTTCGTACATCTAAAACTCCTTTTAACCCTCTTTCGCTGAGGCTCAAGTTGGTAAGACGAGGGTACCCCCTCCCGAGCCAGCCTACCCACGCTTTAACCCGTTCGCAACAAGGTGGATATTTAGAAAATATAATAAAGGCATACGAGGCGCGGATGAGTCTGTGATTCAATTAAATTTATTATGTATGGAGATCCTGCGTGTGAGGCAGGTGCTCATCGGCAACAAATTGCTGTATCTATCTTCTGAGATTGAACATTTAAACCCTTTTAGAGGCAATATTTTAGAAGTAGATAAGTTAATAAATAAGCCTTCATTATTTTCTGCAAGTAACTAATTCTTCATTATTATACGTGTATAATTATTTGTTATCCTGTTAATTATTATATAATAAATAATTATATAATAAAAATACTTGGGTTAAATAAGAATACTATATAATATATAAGCATAACAAGTGAATAATATATACTGAAATTTGTTATCTTAAAAAAATTCTTTAAATAATACATTTATATATTTCAATAATAACGCATTATATATTTAAAAAAATATACAATACAGTTACCTACTATCATCATCAGCCTCATATCAGCCGTCTACTGTCAACTGCGGAACATAGGTAACCCAAAAGGACGGGTTTGCCAGTAGTTGCCACGTTTGACATGCGGATTGGCAACCGCAGTTAGGTTTAGATGTTCTAAGAGGGACGCTGCTACCTACTACATCATTATCAATTTCTTACTATACGTATCATCACTTAAACTGCTAGAACGAGACTTTACAATAGTCATTAAAGATCTACGATTGTATGGTTGTATTTTTATTTGAACCATGGTATATGGTAGAGGAATTAGATATAATAATATATTAGAGTACTAGGGTATAATACCTTAGGAGTGACAATTCAATATTCTACGAGTACTATCTCTTCTTCATACAACAGTTGTAAATAAGAAATCACTATTCTATTACAAGCATTATAACAACTTCAGTTTAAAAAATTACCGTGTGATGATTCTAAAAAAATTATTGGTTTTATCAATCAAATTAGTAAAAGAATGTCCAAGAAAAAAACATACGTGTCGCATTTTCTTTTTATAAAGCAGTTAATAACATTATATTTGACTACCCTTAATCGAGCCATTAATCAGCAATGTATCACAGCAATATTAATTAAACATAATTATAACAATATTAATTTGTGCAAAACAACAGTAAACATGTAAATATCTATTAAGCGTGCCGTTTGTTAAGACGCTGAACAGCCGCGAACATCAAAACAAATGCTCCCTTAATTCTTCCCTCCAGTGATGATCCTTATTAGCGAGGACTTAGGCGTAACCTCGCAATTATAACGACCTTCTAAAATTGTACGGAAACGCTCGCCTACTTAACGAGGAGTTTGATAATCTGTCTCCATCACGAGTTCTTCAAATCCGGGCCTGTGAGCTTGAAGGCACTGCTAATTATGTGACATTTTTATTATAATATATATTCACTACATTTTACAATAGAGTTTTTAAATGGTAATCTTTGTTATTGGTTAGAAATAGGTATCTATTAGAAATCTAATACTTTTTAGTATTACATGTAACTTAATACCATATAAAATATTGGTGTTCACATTAAAAAATGAAAGTATTTATAGCGGTTCTATTATATATTATATTTATAAGATTAATGCAAAGCAAAAAATAAAATTTAAAAAATAAAAAAAAATACAAACTACTACCACGAATAATTAATTACAATTTTTGCAATATGTATTAACCATTGTTGAAATCTATAGCAATAAATAACACATAGAATTATTTTTTTAAATATTTGCCTATTTGTATGATTTTTATAATCTATTGGACCGATTTAAATGTTTGTTTGTATACCTAAGCTTCATTGTGTCTACATAGTATGTAAAAACACATGATTTTAAGAAAAATAATAAAATACATAGTCAAACTTATTTCTTGGAGGAATTGTTTTGTGGAGACATGGTCAGTAGTCGAGCTTAAGTGGACAAAACAATACATTATACGACATATTATTATTACAATATTAGATTTAAGAGGCCTACTAAATGTAACAAATTATAATTTAAGATTTCACTCTATTTAACACCGTTTTAAATCTTATAGTGTAAGACCGAAATAGACAATAAATCCTTTTGATATTTTTTTATTTAATTTGAAATAACATGTTATAATGCAAAGAACAATGGTCAATTGTGGCAACGCAAACACTTTTAAATATTACCGACTTGTGACATTATACCTCAAACGTTGACTTTACTGAATAGTAAATTGCACTAATAACAAAGCCGTATACCGATTTGTCTTTGTTCTATAAAAGTAACCGTTATATTCTCATTCGAAAATTAATTCGTGTAAGCTGCAACCCAGTAACAATTTTCTATAGAAAACTCAGATCTTGAGCGGTCTTAAATATGGAAAACAATGAGTTCGACGATAATAAGGGGTAAGGTTTACTGTGAGTCTCATTGTGAGGTCGGGGGCATTAAAATACATTACCCGAGTATTGTTGATTTAGCGCAGTGTAGCGGACAAGCTCTGTCGCCGTCAGATCATAATGCTTCTCGGTTGATGTGATTCGATTCGACAGGTGTTTTCGTGAACAAATGTAGATTTGCGCGGTTCAACGGTGGGAATGTTGGGGATTATGTATATTTTAGATAAAGGAATAATACCTACATCTAAACATTGGTATACATTTTAACAAGAAGATGAGAATTGTAATGAAATTGTTTATATCTCTTGGTATTCCAAGCAAACCAAGCGTAAAGGTTGATATTTATACTTATTTTTTGAATGATTATGTCGATGAATAAATAATATATGAATACATATATATTTTGATACATAATTCTTTCTATTTATGCAGATAAAAAAGATATTGAAAATAATAATATAATTAATTCACATTTTTGTGCATCTCGAAAGGAAAGAAATGTTAGAAAATTACTTTTAGGTTGTAATTATCTCTATAAAGATAATAATTTACAAGTAGACTCATCTGCACCACTCTACAAAGCAGAGAATATGCCATTAATTGTTGATCATAGGTCTCCCTTTGGGTGGATTTTCTCGTAGTTGCCATGCTTGACAGGCAGGTTGGCAACCGCAGTTAGGCTTTGATGGTGTTTTAACAGGGACGCTGCTACCCATCCCTCAACCATTACATTATAATACCCTCGGGAAAGGATGGGATAGCCCATTCTATATCGGGACCACATGGCATATAGAAAATACAGTAATATGAAATAAATAAATAAATATACTCGTATGCGTACTTATATGTAACTGGAAAAAATATAAATGCGTTTTACCTCATCTAAAGGGCATCCAGTTGATATTAGTAGCGCTCTACTTTGAACAAGCAGAAGTCTTAGAAGTTTGTCCTTTATATCCTGTAGTGGTGTTAGTCTTGGCCGTAGCAGTTGTATGCGCAATGTCGCCACTGTAGCCAGCTCACCCAGGACTTCTCCGACCGTTGCCAACGCACCTTCAGAGATCCTATCGAAAGGCAACGGCTTCCAATTGTTTAATACCACCGTACCTGCGTAATTAAAATAGTTCATATTAAAATTTAATAGTGAAAAGGTTTTACTGAGAACTACCCGTATACCGCGGACTTGCCTATGCTAGCTATAATAAAAGTATTATGTTTAATAAAGCATACAGTCCATCTCTATACGAGAATTTGCAATCCCTTATTCTAGCGATTTCCCGTATGTTATTTTTATGCAACTTAGAATGGCAAACCAGCTCCGACCCACCTGATGGAAAGTGGTAACCGTCGCCTGTAGACATGAGCAGTACCATAGACATAACAGAGTATGCTGTTTCGCCCATGATAGCCCCCATGCGTCGTTTTTAATTTATGTATATATAATATATATTTATTTACTTACTAGTTTAACAATAATTCATAAACAGTTATAAGAGATATTTTGACAAAGTAAAAAATTGAAATTGTAAGATACAATTACTTTTAATAGAATAATAGCTCAAAAATTTGGTAAAGTTCGTTATCAAAAAATTTTATGGGTTAAATCTTTTGCAGGCTCCTTGTAAGTTTATTGCAAAATTCTAGCTGTAAAGAAAAGACTGCGGGATTGCAAACCGTACTCTATACCAAATTTCATTTATATCAGCAATGATCAATTATGAATCTTTATTGTCCTTTCAGTAATTACGAGAATAAAAAATGTAAAAGTGGGTGAGTCTGTTGAATCTTAACACTTTAGCGGCTTAACAAATCAGCATAAATTATAAATATACATAGTATTTGCATGGAGAAGAACAAAAGTTACTTTTTATATCGGTTAATGCGAAAGACGCTAGAGCACATTCAAATGGATTCATATTCATTACCAAAAAACTTTATTAACTATATTTTGAAATGGGTTTGTGATTGAAAACTATCTCTATATCTATTGATAGTTCAATTCATCTATTAATGCGATCCGAACATGATTTAAAGTCGATCAAAGTCCAATTGTAAAATTGAAGTCCACTTGATATTATAATATTATAGTTGAAGCCCGAGGCATTGTCGTACATATCGAATTTCGAATACGATACGAGTATTAAAACGTCGGGGACAAAAGTAGAGCAATATACATAATTAGTGTAAAATGGATGTAATTATTTTAATATTCTTTTAAAGTACCCGGAGTGAAACAGAAAATATTGTTTTTCAAAGATACATACACGTGTCAAAATATTATAAAAAAAATTTGAACCCAATGAAACGAGGCGTCGCGCTATCTATTCAGTATATTTATATTTTTTGTTTTTTTCTTTTCTACACAATACAAAGTTTTTCGGGAAAAATATTGTATATCTCTTATAATACTATGTAACCCTACATATTACTACTTGCATTACTCATAGAAATAATGGTTTTCCCAAGAGACTACAGCATGGGGTTCTTCAAAAGGGGGGTAAAGAGGTTTCTTCAGGGTCGGCAACGCGCGCGTAATACCTCTGGTATTGCAAGCGTTCATAGGCTACGGTAACCGCTTACCATCAGGTGGGACGTATGCTTGTTTGCCACGTCAGTGGTATAAAAAAAAAGAAATAAACCTTTTAACTATTGATATTTGTCACTTTCTTAAATTAGGTATTCATATTAATAGAAAATCTGGAATAGATATCAAATTAATATCTAAAATAGATAGCTATCTATTTTAGGTATTGCTTTGTTTTTGTACACACTGTTGACTGTTTTCACTCCAAAAATTTGGCAGTCTTAAAATTGTTATAAAACATAACAACTGTCTCTTACAATAATCACCTTTAGCGGACGCAGATAATTCGTGAGGGTAGCCAAGCCTTATCATGGCTGCTGGTACCAGTTCCTGAAAGGGAGTCGAGGCTGGTATAATGACGTAGCTGTCCGTCTCCACGACAGTGCGCCGTCTCCAGTTGTCTTCCTCGAGGGATGATATTGCTTCCACGACGCAGTGCACTGGGAAGGTTTTACCTGGACCAAAAGGAAAATAATTATATTATATAATTATTTATATAATTGAATATTTCTAGAGTTCCGTACCTATGGAACTCTAGATCTATTCTTTCATTAGTTTCATAAAAATGACTGACTCAATTCCTAAATTTTTAAACCCTACTTAACCTACATATATATTTAACATCACAACAAATTCTACCACGCGCTTCTATATAAGTACAAAAGGGATCGAATAATCTAAATATTATTTGTTAAAAAAAAATCAATTTTAGTAGACTGACTACGGTTATAATTTTATACTTTTCTTTTGTGACTTAACGTCGCGTTGTCCGATAAGAAGAACAAAAAGCGTAAATATTGCGTAAAAACTTCCTCGTTCGACATTTTCTTCTAAAAAAAAAAACTTCGAAGTACTGTCGTTAAGAAGGCGTCTTAATAATTTAGTAACTTTTCAAGCGAGAAAGCAATGCTTTTGACTTGCTCGCGGACGATGCAAAAAAGTGAATAAAACGTTAAAATAATAATTAATCCTCGCTCCATGTTTCGCCGCCACTGCCTAGAAATCGCTTTGTGCTGTTCACTGCTTTTACCCCACTTCTTTGTGTTGATGCTTCTTTAGCGCGATATTAAATAGTTTTTGCTGCTTGAATACATTTTCAACCGACTTAAAAAAGACGTTCTTAATTTAGTTGCATTTTTTATTGTCTGGTATCTCATAACTCCATCAGTACTAAACAGATTTGGATTTTTTTTTATCTCAAAAAATATATTTACAGACTGATTCCATAGAAATATTATCTAAATAAGTAGTTTAGTTTTGAATTCAAAATAATAGATTTTACCATAATTAAAATTGGCTGTTTTAGACAATTTTTTAAAGAGCTAAAAGTATTCCAGCGATGGCCTTTTATAACTATTAAATTAAACTCAATAATTCTATTGTGTCGAAAACAAACTGATTTAGTGTATCTATTGAAAACAATAGCTAACTTCGAACCCGCCCAACAGTTATTGAATTTACATAATACTATTTGGGAATTTGGTAAACAAAACAGTACGCCACGGGAACTTATAAATTTCTCCATACAATAATCTCTAAATAATACCTAGTAGTGTCGTTGTAGCGTTAACGCACGGGTTATACGTTGAAAACAGCAAAATTTCGGGTTGAGCGTAATCACGTAAGTAACTTTCGATAGTTTTCGTTGGCAAGTTCTTTGGGGTGGTTTGGGGTTGGGAGGTTCAGGTTAGCGCCCAGCCACCTATGGTTTAATATGGAGCTTGGATTACTTGAGGTTTAGTAGGACTACCCGCCGTCCTCGGTCCTTTGGTCAGTAAATCCCCCGGTTTTGAAACTATGAAACTGTGGACTCTTGTAATATCTATATCAATAATAATTATTCGGGAATATACGTAGAATTAGGTTTTTATTATGTAAATATTGTACTTTGAAATTTGTACCTAGATTGTAAATACGAGTATAGTTTATATAATATATATAAACTTAAGTTTGTCTAGGTTTTTTTTTATTTGAAAATTGTCACAATATTGTACACCGCTCTACCTACTGACATTGATGTTCCTTTCAACTTTGGGTTTGCTGGGAAAGAACTTTAGAGCTTTTAGAGTTAAGCTCGTCTATGTGCATATGCTTAATTCTGACATATTTTTTATGTATTATGAGTATGTACAATAAAGTATAAATAAAATAAAATTGTATAACTGTATCGAAATCTCTTTAAAAAAATTAAACAAAAATGAAACACACATGATTTTTTATCTGAAATTAACTATATAAAGATAGCAAAGGCAATGGGAAAATGAAATTATTTTATAAAAGCATTAAAGTTCATAAAAAAGCTATTTAGATGTATAATGTGTTAAGCGTGTTGTTTTATTTAAATACAATTTAATATAAGACTACATATATGTTGATCCTAATTTAGAGACTCAAAGTGGCGAGATACAGCAAACAATTAAAAGTCCATAAATAAAAGTATAATTAAAATGCTGTATACATAAAATCGCAAGCAATAGCCTGTATAATATATAAATAGTCTCATAATAATAATGCTATTAAACCATCCTATTCAATATTGAGATAGCGGGATTGTAGATGAATCTGTAACGTTAAATAGATCAATTTAAATATCTTGATGAAAACCTTGCTACCCAATTGTGTCCGTTACACCACAATCGGTGACTGCAGTATACACGTGCGTAATTTATCATGTATTATATTAATACTGAAAGAGGTTTTTTTGTATGGAAGAGAAATTTTACATGACTGTTATTTGATAGAGATTTAGCTTGGTGGAGACAACGTGAGATTTATTAGCATTTCGGAAACGTTTATTTGAAAAATTTATGTTATGCAAACATATTATTTAAAATGTTTGAAATTTTAATTTGTGAACAAAATAACATTTTTTGTTGTGATGCAAAAAAGACAACGATATTAAATGTGACAAATAATAAAAATCTAGTACGTGAAACCAGACATGTAATAGATTTTGTTTATTTATTTTTTATTTTTTCATTGCAAAAATAATTATAAAAATCGGTACAAAAATTATATAACTGCATAACATTATACACCTATAATATAAAGAATCAAGAATTTTCTTTTCGGTAGCCGTTTAAAATTAAATATTCACTATTAGTAATGCTTTGCTTTGTATACCAATAATTATTGTGATTGATAAGTTAAGCCCAAATAAATGTTTTTATGTACTTTTAACATATGCGCGGTTGCAAAACTTGTGAAGATCGAGAGGAGTTTATAAATCTGCGAACTTGTTAAGTACGTCGGGTCTTGTGTGCGGCGTATGAAAATTAACCTCTATGCTTTTCCAGGTGTTCAGTACAAATTATAAACGACAGCGGGTTTGAATATGTAAACAATATACACTATTTAATAATTATGTAGTCACTGTAAATAATTCCAAACCGTTATAAATATTGTAGTCTATGACAATATTTAGCTGTTTATTGCTAGATTGAGTGACAAACTAAATATTTAGATATTAAATTAAAGAGCAAATAGCTATCAATTGAAAGAAATAAAATCATTATTATATCCATTACGTAGCTAATATACTATAATTAACAAACTCCACCCATGACATGATTGTATACAAAAATATTAAATTTAGCACTAAGTTTTAATGAAAATTAAATATATGAACTATTGTGCCTACTATATACGAGTAATATATATATATATATATATATATATATATATATATATATATATATATATATATATATATATATATATATACGGTAATGTAATAATGAATGAATAACCTTGAAACCTAACCTAACCTAGTGCTAAGAAAAATACGAAACAAAATATATCATAAGTAGTACCTTTGTTATCTTTATTTTAAAAAAAAAGTAAAAAAAAAAAGAAAAATCTTATTTTACTGTCCTGATCATTTAAAATAATGTCTGTTCCAAGTAGATTTTACAATGGTACAATTCATAACTGTATCTATCATAAATAGTGACTTATTGCCATTAATATAGAAAAGGCGAAAATTTGACTAAATAACAAAATTTGTAATATGGGAACATTTTTTTAATTGAAATGTATCTCATCATTGGGGAATAATAAAAAACAACATTTAATATTCAAAATAATTTATTTTACATAAATTTACAATAAATGCTTTAATTGTTTTTCTCCCACTCTTATGCATGCCCTGCATCTTCGGATAAATGCTCTTCTGAGCGGTCTTGTGTAGCGTCGCTCGTTTATTTTCGATGCGGCTGCTCTGACGCGACTGCGTAATTTGTCCAAAGACTGTATAGGTTTACGGTACACTTGCTAAAAAGTGCACGGTAAAAAGTAGCCTGTATAATCTTTTCCATCTCATAGTACGTGTATACCAAATTTCACAGAAATTTATTAAGACATTAAGGCGCAATAAAATAAAGTAACAAACTCATTTTCACATGTATAATATTAGTAAGGATTGTTTTTACTATACATATATATTTTTGGAATGAGATATTAACCACAGCATTAAAATATTAGGAGCTCATAAAGATATAATAATAAGAAAACGCTCATAACTTAGGCCCCAGTTCGTTGAACATTTGGTGGGTGCAAGTCCAACCCGCGCGAGAATCTTATCGCAAATCCGGCATAAAATTAAATCGTATTACTAAACGTGTGCGACACGGCCGATGTTATAAGAACTGACGCATGCATTTTTAATTATTATACATATTATTACACTTACAGTGCATCATGGGCGACACAGTATTTTTTGTTATATCCATTATTAATGTCTAAAGGCGACGATTGACACTATGCATCAGATGGGCCATTAGCTTGTAATATAACATAAAATGTGTAACATAAAAAAATATAGTAAAAACGAAGAATGTTCTTAAAATCCTTTTTTTTTATTCCATAGAAGATATTTAAATTAAAGGTGCAATAATAGTGTCAACACACTACGTTCTCCTAAAAATTTATATACTATATAGATACATATATACTATAGCGTGTTTAAGCGTGTTTATTTATTTATATAAAATTTTATGTATGTATGATTAGACTAGATATTAAATTAACACATAAGATACGATTTATTCTAATTACGAAACACAAAGTGATATATATAATAAGAGATATAAGATAGTAAAAGAGATAAGAGTAAAAAAATAATAATTAAAACCTCAAAAATAAAAGCATAATTAAAATGCCATACAGATAAAATAGCTAGAAAGAATTCTCCTAGAAATTTATTATTATAATTTTTGAAATAGTATTGATATGTGATTACTAAGATCGGATACATTTATGTTAATTCAATAGTTTATATACTGTTTACAATAGATATTAAATAAAACTACTAATAGATATTAAATGAAACTACTAAACTAAAACTTGGACTCAATTCTCGATGTGGCAAACGATTTTTTATAAATTGGCTCGGATCTAAAATAAATAATCTAAAAATGTTCTGAGTTAAGCCCCTTATTCAGTATCTGGTTTCTCG